TCTGTTCCACAGCAGTGATTTCCAACATTCTGTCTTCCAGCTCACTTGTCTGTTCTTCTGCCTCATTTATTCTGCTATTGATTCTAGTGTGCTTTTCATTTGTGTTTTCTTCAACTCTGTTTGGTTGTTCTTTATATTTTCTAACTCTTTGTTAAAAAGTTATTGTAAGTTCTTGCTTGAGCATCCATTCTTTTCCTGAGTTCTTGGATCATCTTTACTATCATTACTCTGAACTCTTTCTTGGGTAGTTTGCCTATCTCTACTTCACTTAGTTGTTCTTCTGGGGTTTTATCTTTTTCCTTCGTCTGGAACATATTCCTCTGTCTTCTCATTTTGTCTAAAATTCTATTTGTATTTTTATGTATATAGAAGGTTAGTTATGTTTCTCAACCTTGGAGAAGTGGCCATCTGTAGGGGATTTCCTGTGTGTCCCAGTAGTACAGTCCCCTCTCATCACCGAGGGCCAGGGACCAGCTGGTCCCAGGGTAGATTCTGACCTGTGTTTGTAGACTCAGTTCCACTGGCTGCTGGACTGTGGTTTCTTGCTTCTGGTGTCTGCCTCCTTGTGGGTGAGGCTGGTCTAGAGGTTTATGCAGGCTTCCTGGTGGGTGGAGCCAGTGCCTACCCACTGGTGGGTGGAGCTGGGTCTTGGCTTTCTGATGGGCAGGGCTGTATCAAGGGGTGTGTCTAGAGGCAGCTGTGTGCTCAGGAACCCTTTAGGCAGCCTGTCTGCTGATGGATGAAGCTGTGTTCCCACCCTGTTGGTTGTTTGGCCTGAGACATCCCAGCACTGGCGCCTACAGCCTGTTGGGTGGGACCAGGTCTTGATGCCAAAATGTTGGCCTCTAGGAGAGCTCACACCAACGAATGTCCCCTGGTAACACTGTCACCAGTGTTGTTGTCCCCAGAGTGAGCCACAGCCACCCTCCCGCCTCCCCAGAATACCCTTCAAGACCAGCAGGTGGGTCTGCCCCAGTCTCCTATGAAGTCATTGCTTTTACCCTGGCTACCAGTGCACACAGGACCTTGTGTGCACCCTCTAAGAGTGGAGTCTCTGTTTCTGAGTCTCCAAAGTCTCTGCAGGAGTCCTATGGAGCTTCTGCAATCAAGCCTTTCTGGCCTTCAAAGCCAAATGGTCTGAGGGCTCCTCCTCCAATGCCAGACCCCCAGGCTGCAGAGCCTGATGTGGGGCTCAGAACTCTCACTCCTATGGGAGAACTTCTGCGATATAATTGTTCTCCAGTTTGTGGGCCACGCACCTGGCGGGCTATGGAATTTGATTATATCAGGAGTGCACCCCTTCTACTGTCTTATTGTGGTTCTTCTTATGTCTTTGGTTGTAAAACATCTTTTTTAGTAGGTTCCACTCTTCTTAATCGATGGTTGTTCAGCAGTTAGTCATGAGAAGAAGTAAGCTGAAGGCCCTTCTACTCTGCCATCTTGGACAGGAATTGAAAAATTCTGCAGTTTTGCATGACACATACTGTTGGGTATGCAGTTAAGCACACAAGCCCTGGAGTCAGACTGCTGGGGTTCAGATTCAGCTTCTTTCCTTTAACCTCTATGTGATTGACAGCTAATGTCTCTATCTTCATGGAATTTATACCTCTTCTTTCACCCTTAGTCTAGCTTCAGGGACCTTGTGCAGAGGACTTGCACCTAATGAGTTGGATTAATTTGGATTAGAGTTTCCAGGTCAGAGCTGCTCCTGATATCTGGAATTTGCGAGCTGGGCTGTTGGCAGTTCACCTTGCAATTTTATTTTTTGGAGATGGCTCCTTTCTTTAAACTTCATAAACTAAACTTTGCTAGCTTCGAACTTTTCTTCTACAGTTTTGTCACCTCTTAGCCTTCATAGAATTGAATAGAGTTAGGGTCTTGCTCTGGATTAGGCTTTGGCTTAAGGGAATGTTGTATCTGGTTTGATCATCTATCCAGACTACTAAAACTTACTCCATATCTGCAATAAGACCGTTTTGCTTTCTTATCATTTGTATGTTCACTGGAGTAGCGCTTTTAGTTTCCTTTGGGAACTTTTCCTTTGCATTTACAGCTTGGCTGTTTTGTGCAAGAGGCTTAGCTTTTGGCCTGTCTCAGCTTTGGACATGCCTTCCTCACTAAGTTTAATCATTTCCACCTTTTGATTTAAAGTGAGAGATGTGTGAATCTTCCTTTCACTTCAATGCTTAGAGGCCATTGTAGGGTTATTAACTGGCCTAATTTCAATATTGTTGTGTCTCAGGGAATAGGGAGGCCCAAGGAGAGGGAGAGAGAAGGGGTCACTAGGTGGAGCAGTTGGAACAGATACAACATTCATCGATTAAGTTTGCTGTCTTATATGGGCAAAATTTGTGGCACTCCAAAATAATCAGTACTAACATCAAAGATCACTGATCACAGATCAACATAACAAATATTATAATAATGAAAAACATTCCAAAATTGTGAGAATTACCAAAATTGTGACACAGAGACACAAGGTGAGCAAATGCTATTTGAAAAATAATGCTGATAGACTTCCTTAATGCAAGATTGCCACAAACCTTCAATTTGTAAAATAGCACAGTATCTGCAAAGCACAATAAAGCACAGCACAGTAAAATGAGGTATGTCTGTATAAAAATAAATCTTGTCATTTGCCCAACACACATTTACTTAATGGTAAAATATGTATACAGAGAAATTAAGACAAATTCTACTTCTTGATACTTTAGATTATATAGGAACACATTCTGGATGTTTGTGAATTTTAGATTGTCAGATTCTATCTATAATATAGTTTAATAAATTGCGGATGGCTTATTGCTAACTTATATATATTTCTACCAAGGTTATTTACTTAAAATTCTTAAATCTTAAAAAAAAATATGTTGCAGACTTACAGAAAGTTAGAAAAATAGTAGTACATAGTATAGAGAATTCCCATGTGGGCCGCTCACCCACATTCCACAAACATTGACACTTTGCCAAAGTAGCTTTCTCTCTCTAAATAAATAAATATTTTTTTCAAAACCTTTTAAGGTAATTGTGGACATGGTGCTCTTCTACCCCTAAACATTTTAGTGTAAATTTACTAAAATTTAGTGTAAATTTTCCTAAAAAAAAAAAAGGACATTCACTTATATAATCACAGTAAAGTTATCAAATTCAGGAAATTAACATTGATACAATACTGTTATTTAATCTTTTGACTTAATTCATGTTTGCCCAATTGTTCCATTAAAAAAAAAAATCTGGTCCAGGATTAGACCAGATTAAATCTGGTCAGTTTAGAATTACATGTTGCATTTGATTATCATGTTTCTTCAATCTCCCTTAATCTGAAATTTAGTCTTTGTTTTCTATTGCCTTGACAGTTTTGAAGAGCACAGGTAAGATATTTTGTAGAATGTTCCTCATTTGGGTTTGTCTGATGTTATCTCATGATTAAATTCAGGTTATACATTTTGGCAAGCATGCCACAGGAGTGGTGTTCCATTCCTCTCAGTGCATCAGAGCTTATTTGCTTTAACAAGCTTAAGTCCTAGTAATGAAAGGAGTGTTTTCTTTGGTGTTATTTATTCTAACTTTTAAATTTACTGTAAAGTTAAAGAAAAAAGGAAATGCTAGCATTAGGAGCTATAATAAGTGTTTTTTAAGCTAAAAGATGCCATAAAATTAATCACTTGTATTCTAGTGAGTAAAGTTTAAGAAAAATTCAAATTTGTGATATACTCCTCTTTCCCTACTATTCTCTTTGAGCTTGCTTTTCTCAGACATGTTCAAGAACCCTCAGTGAATGTTTGCCCCTGGCCAGGCAGATAAATGACCTTGTCCTGTGAACTTTAAATGGAAAACAACTCCAAGCCAATACAAACTAATTTTGAAATATGCCCTTCTAATTAAATCTCTACAGTTTGCCAAATTTTATAGAGTGTTTACCAACATTTGACCTATTTAAAATCACCTATGATTCATCATTAATTATTAGAGAAATGCAAATCTAAACTACAATGAGGTATCACCTCACACTGGTCAGGATGGCCATCATTAAAAAGTCCACAAATAATAAATGCTAGAGAGAGTGTGGAGGAAAAGGAACCCTCCTACACTGTTGGTGGGAATGTAAATTGGTGCAGCCACTATGGAAAACAGTATGGAGGTTCCCCAAAAAACTAAAAACAGAGTTGCTATATGATCCAGCAATCCTACTCTTGGGCATATACCCAGACAAGACTTTAGTTCGAAAAGGTACATGCACCTCTCTGTTCATAGCAGCACTATTTACAATAGCCAAGACATGGAAACAACCTAAGTGTCCATTGACAGATGAAAAGATAAAGAAGATGTGTTATATATATATATATATATATATATATATATATATATATATATATATGTATATACAATGGAATATTGCTCAGCTATTGAAAAGAATGAAATAATGCCATTTGTAGCAATGTGGATGCAACTAGAGATTATCATACTAAGTGAAGTAAGTCAGAAACAGAAAGACAAATACCATATGATATCACTTATATATGGAATCTAAAATATGATACTATCTATGAAACAGAAACAGACTCACAGACATAGAGAACAGACTTGTGGCTGCCAAGGGGCAGAGGGATTGGGGAGGGAAGGATTGGGAGGTTGAGACTAGCAGATATCTGCAAACTATTATATATAGGATGGATAAAAAACAAGGTCCTATTTTATAGCACAGGGAACTATATTGAATATCCTGTGATAAACCATAATGGAAAAGATATGAAAAGAATATGTATGTGTATAACCAAGTCATTTTGCTGTACAGCAGAAATTAACATGGCATTGTAAATCAACTATACTTCAATAAAATTTAAAAAATCACTTACGATGCACTTTTCCTTAATGTGTACTTTGGTAGCACTATGGGGAGCCTTAGATTTTAAGAATAATTTCCATTTTATATACAAACAAGTTTTGGCAATTTGTACTTTGGTTAATTTGCTGTGTTTATATTTTCTTCTCTTATATAGCCAATCAAAAACCCCCCAACAGGGAAGAAGTATGTTAGATGCCCTTGTAATTGTCTCCTCATTTGTAAGGACACATCACGGCGAATAGGATGTCCAAGGCCCAACTGGTAAGACATGAAGATTCATTCATTCATTCATTTGTTCATTCAACAAGTACTTATTAAAGATTCATTATGTGGCAGGTTTGTTCTAAACAGTCTTTCTCCTCAAAGTAATTATATGACCTACAGCATTTTTTTCTTTGTTAAAGGAATAATACTGCTTAGTTTGAAATTAATGGTTACAGTTATTTGCTTTTTTTTTTATTTGCTGTTATTTTTATTTCCAGCTTATAGGTGACAAATCTGAAGCTCTGAGAGAGAAAATAAATAGTTCAAATCAGTGCTTGTCACAGTTTTTAAACTTTTGGCTGTGATGCCAAGTGTAAAATACATTTTATTTTACAACCCAAAATTCATATGTGTTCATCTCCATACATACATACACATACTCATATATTTGAAACAAAAGTTTCACAAAGAAAATTTACTTTTGCTATATGCAGTGTACACAGATTTTTTCATATTTTACTTACTCTGTTTCTGCCCATTTATCTTTTTTCTTTCTTTCTTTTTTTTTTTTTTAAACATCTTTATTGGAGTATAATTGCTTTACAATGGTGTGTTAGTTTCTGCTTTATAACAAAGTGAATCAGCTATACATATACATATATCCCCATATCTCTTCCCTCTTGTGTCTGCCTCCCTCCCACCCTCCCTATCCCACCCCTCTAGGTGGTCACAAAGCACCGAGCTGATCTCCCTGTGCTACGCGGCCGCTTGCCACTTGCTATCTATTTTACATCTGGTAGTGTATATAGGTCCATGCCACTCTCTCACTTTGTCCGAGCTTACCCTTCACCCTCCAGGTGTCCTCAAGTCCATTCTCTAGTAGGTCTGTGTCTATTCCCATCTTGCCCCTAGGTTCTTCATGACTATATATATATATATATATATATATTTTAGATTCCATATATATGTGTTAGCATACAGTATTTGTTTTTCTCTTTCTGACTTACTTCACTCTGTATGACAGACTCTAGGTCCATCCACCTCACTACAAATAACTCAATTTTGTTTCTTTTCATGGCTAATATTCCATTGTATATATGTGCCACATCTTCTTTACCCATTCATCTGTTGATGGACACTTAGGTTGCTTCCATGTCCTGGCTATTGAAAATACAGCTGCAATGTATATTGTGGTACATGTCTCTTTTTGAATTATGGTTTACTCAGGATATATGTCCAGTAGGGGGATTGCTGGGTCGTATGGTAGTTCTATTTTTAGTTTTTTAAGGAACCTCCATACTGTTCTCCATAGTGACTGTATCAATTTACATTCCCACCCACCATTCCCAGTGTAAGAGGGTTCCCTTTTCTCCACACCCACTCCAGCATTTATTCTTTGGAGATTTTTTTGATGATGGCCATTCTGACTGGTGTGAGATGATACCTGATTGTAGTTTTCATTTGTATTTCTCTAATGATTAATGATGTTGAGCATTCTTTCATGTGTTTGTTGGCAATCTGTATGTCTTCTTTGGAGAAATGTCTGCTTAGGTCTTCTGCCCAGTTTTGGATTGGGTTGTTTGTTTTTTTGATATTGAGCTGCATGAGCAGCTCTAAAATTTTGGAGATTAATCCTTTGTCAGTTTCTTCATTTGCAAATATTTTCTCCCATTCTGAGGGCTGTCTTGTTTATTGTTTCCTTTGCTGTGCAAAAGCTTTTAAGTTTCATTAGGTCCCATTTGTTTATTTTTGTTTTTATTTCCATTTCTCTAGGAGGTGGATCAAAAAGGATCTTGCTGTGATTTATGTCATAGAGTGTTCTGCCTGTGTTTTCCTCTAAGAGTTTGATAGTGTCTGGCCTTACATATAGGTCTTTAATCCATTTTGAGTTTATTTTTGTGTATGGTGTTAGGGAGTGTTCTAATTTCATTCTTTTACATGTAGCCATCCAGTATTCCCAGCACCACTTATTGAAGAGGCTGTCTTTTCTCCATTGTATATTCTTGCCTCCTTTATCAAAGATAAGGTGACCATATGTGCATGGGTTTATCTCTGGGCTTTCTATCCTGTTCCATTGATCTATATTTCTGTTTTTGTGCCAGTACCATACTGTCTTGATTACTGTAGCTTTGTAGTATAGTCTGAAGTCAGGGAGCCTGATTCCTCCAGCTCTGTTTTTTTTCCTCAAGATTGCTTTGGCTATTCGGGGTCTTTTGTGTTTCCATACAAATTGTGAAATTTTTTCTTCCAGTTCTGTGCAAAATGCCAGTGGTTGTTTGATAGGGGTTGCATTGAATCTGTAGATTGCTTTGGGTAGTAGAGTCATTTTCACAATGTTGATTATTCCAATCCAAGAACATGATACATCTCTCCATCTATTTGTATCATCTTTAATTTCTTTCATCAGTGTCATATAATTTTCTTCATACAGGCCTTTTGTCTCCTTAGGTAGGTTTATTCCAAGGTATTCTTTTTGTTGCAGTGGTAAATGGGAGTGTTTTCTTAATTTCACTTTCAGATTTTTCATCATTAGAGTATAGGAATGCAAGAAATTTCTGTGCATTAATTTTGTATCCTGCTACTTTACCAAGTTCATTGATTAGCTCTAGTAGTTTTCTGGTAGCATCTTTAGGATTCTCTATGTATAGTATCATGTCATCTGCAAACAGTGACAGCTTTACTTCTTCTTTTCCGATTTGGATTCCTTTTATTTTTTTTTTTCTTCTCTGATTGCTGTGGCTAAAACTTCCAAAACTATGTTGAATAATAAAGGTGAGCGTGGGCAACCTTGTCTTGTTCCTGACCTTATGGAAATGGTTTCAGTTTTTCACCATTGAGGACGATGTTGGCTGTCGGTTTGTCATATATGGCCTTTATTATTTTGAGGTAAGTTCCCTCTATGCCTACTTTCTGGACAGTTTTTATCATAAATGGGTGTTGAATTTTGTCAAAAGCTTTCTCTGTATCTATTGAAATGATCATATGGTTTTTACCCTTCAATTTGTTAATATGGTTTATCACATTGATTGATTTGCATATTTTGAAGAATCCTTGAATTCCTGGCGTAAACCCTACTTAATCATGGTGCATGATCCTTTTAATGTGTTGCTGGATTCTGTTTGTTAGTATTTTGTTGAGGATTTTTGCATCTATGTTCATCAGTGATATTGGCCTGTAGTTTCCTTTCTTTGTGACATCTTTGTCTGGTGTCGGTGTCAGGGTGATGGTGGCCTCGTAGAATGAGTTTGGGAGTGTTCCTCCCTCTCATATATTTTGGAAGAGTTTGAGAAAGGCAGGTGTTTAACTGTTCTCTAAATCTTTGATAGAATTCACCTGTGAAGTCATCTGGTCCTGGGCTTTTGTTTATTGGAAGATTTTTAATCAAAGTTTTAATTCAGTGCTTGTGATTGGTCTGTTCATATTTTCTATTTCTTCCTGGTTCAGCCTCAGAAGGTTGTGCATTTCTAAGAATTTGTCCATTTCTTCCATGTTGTCCATTTTATTGGCATATAGTTGCTTGTAGTAATCTCTCATGATCCTTTGTACTTCTACTGTGTCAGTTGTTACTTCTCCTTTTTGTTTTCTCGTTCTGTTGGTTTGAGTATTCTCCCTTTTTTTCTTGATGAGTCTGGCTAATGGTTTATCAATTTTGCTTATCTTGTCAAAGAACCAGCTTTTAGTTTTATTGATCTTTGCTATCATTTCCTTCATTTCTTTTTCATTTATTTCTGATCTGATCTTTATGACTTCTTTCCTTCTGCTAACTTTTTGGTGTTTTTGTTCATCTTTCTCTAATTGTTCTAGGTGTAAGGTTAGTTTGTTTATTTGAGATGTTTCTTGTTTCTTAAGGTAGGATTGCATTGCTATAAACTTCCCTCTTAGAACTGCTTTTGCTCCATCCCATAGGTTTTGGTCATGTTTTCATTGTCATTTCTTTCTAGCTATTTTTGATTTCCTATTTGTTTCCTTCAGTGATCTCTTGGTTATGAAGTAGTGTATTGTTTAGCCTCCATGTGTTTGTATTTTTTACAGATTTTTTCCTGTAATTGATATCTAGTCTCATAGCGTTGTTTTCAGAAAAGAAACTTGATACGATTTCAATTTTCTTAAATTTACCAAGGCTTGATTTGTTACCCAAGATATGATCTGTCCTGGAGAATGTTCCATGAGCACTTGAGAAGAAAGTGTACTCTGTTGTTTTTGGAGGGAATGTCCTAAAAGTATCAATTAAGTCCATCTTGTTTAATGTGTCATTTAAAGTTTGTGTTTCCTTATTTATTTTGATTTTGGATGATCTGTCAAATGGTGAAAGTGTGGTGTTAAAGTCCTCTACTATATTGTGTTACTGTCGATTTCCCCTTCTTTGGCTATTAGCCTTTGCCTTATGTATTGAGGTACTCCTATGTTGGTTCATAAATATTTACAATTGTTATATCTTATTCTTGGATTGATCCATTGATCATTATTTAGTGTTCTTCTTTGTCTCTTGTAATAGTCTTTATTTTAAAGTGTATTTTGTCTGATATGAGAATTGCTACTCCAGGTTTGTTTTTTTTGTTTTTGTTTTTTTGTTTTTTTGCGGTACACGGGCCTCTCACTGTTGTGGCCTCTCCCGTTGGGGAGCACAAGGTCCAGATGCGCAGGCTCAGCGGCCATGGCTCACAGGCCCAGCCTCTCCGCGGCATGTGGGACCTTCCTGGACCGGGGCACGAACCCATGTCCCCTGCATCGGCAGGCGGACTCTCAACCACTGTGCCACCAGGGAAGCCCTCCAGCTTTGTTTTGATTTCCATTTGCATGGAATATCTTTTTCCATCCCCTCGTTTTCAGTCTGTATGTGTCCTTAAGTCTGAATTGGGTCTCTTGTAGACAGCATATATATGGGTCTTGTTTTTTTATCTATTCATCCAGTCTATGTCTCTTGGTGGGAACATTTAACACATTTACATTCAAGGTAATTATCGATATGTATGTTCCTATTACCATTTTCTTAATTGTTTTGAGTTTATTATTGTAGGTCTTTTCCTTCTCTTGTGTTTCCTGCCTAGAGCAGTTCCTTTAGCATTTGTTGTAAAGCTGGTTTGGTGGTGCTGAATTCTCTTAGCTTTTGCTTGTCTGTAAAGCTTTTAATTTGTCTGTCAAATCTGAATGAGATCCTTGCTGTGTACAGTAATCATAGTTGTACATTTTTCCCTTTCATCACTTTAAATATGTCCTGCCAGTCCCTTCTGGCTTGCAGAGTTTCTGCTGAAAGATCAGCTGTTAACCTTATGGGGATTCCCTTGTATGTTATATGTTGTTTTTCCTTTGCTGCTTTTAATCTTTTTTCTTGTATTTAATTTTTGATTGTTTGACTAATATGTGTCTTGGCATCTTTCTCCTTGGATTTATCTTGTATGGGACTCTCTGTGCTTCATTAACTATTTTCTTTCCCATATTAGGGAAGTTTTCAACTATAATCTCTTTCAATATTTTCTCAGTCCCTTTCTTTTTCTCTTCTTCTTCTGGAACCCCTACAATTCGAATGTTGGTGCATTTAGTGTTGTCCCCTAGGTCTCTGAAACTGTCCTCAATTATTTTCCTTGTTTTTTTCTTTATTCTGCTCTTCATTAGTTATTTCCACTATTTTATCTTCCAGGTCACTTATCCATTCTTCTGCCTCAATTATTCTGCTATTGATCCCTTCTAGAGAATTTTAAATTTCATTTATTGTGTTGTTCATCATTGTTTTTGTGGTCTTTAGTTCTTCTAGGTCCTTGGTAAATGTTTCTTGTATTTTCTCCATTCTATTTCCAGGATTTTGGATCATCTTTAGTATCATTATTCTGAATTCTTTTTCAGGTAAACTGCCTACTTCCTCTTCATTTGTTAGGTCTGCTGGGTTTGTACCTTGTTCCTTCATCTGCTCTGTGTTTCTCTGTCTTCTCATTTTGCTTAACTTACTGTGTTTGGGGTCTCTTATTTGCAGGCTGCAGGTTCATAGTTCCCGTTGCTTTTGGTGTCAGCCTTCAGTGGGTAAGGTTGGTTCAGTGGGTTGTGTAGGCTTCCTGGTGGAGGGGACTGGTGCCTGTGTTCTGGTGGATGATGTTGTATCCTGTCTTTCTGATGGGCAGGTCCACGTCTGGTGGTGTGTTTTGGGGTGTCTGTTACCTTATTATGATTTTAGGCAGCCTCTCTGCTAATGGGTGGGTTGTGTTCCTGTCTTACTAGTTGTTTGGCATAGGGTGTCCAGCACTGTAGCTTGCTGGTCGTTGAGTGGAGCTGGGTCTTGGCATTGAGATGGAGATCTCTGGGAGATTTTCCCCATTTGATATTACTTGGAGTTGTGTGGTCTCTGGTGGAACCATGTCCTGAACTTGGCTCTCCCACCTCAGAGGCACAGCCCTGATGCCTGGCTGGAGCACCAAGAGCCTATTATCCACACAGCTGAGAATAAAATGCAGAGAGAGAGAGAGAGAGAGAGAGAGAGAGAGGAGGGAGAAAGAATGAAAGAGGTCAAATAAAATGAAATAAAATAAAGTTAAAAAAAACTTAAAAAGTAATAAAAAATAAAGAAAGAAGGAAGAGAGCAACCCAACCCAAAAACAAATCCACCAATGATAACAAGCACTAAAAACTATACTAAAAAAAGAAAAGAAAAAAAAAAGAAAAATGGGCAGACAGAATCCTAGGACTTATGGTAAAAGCAGAGCTATACAGACAAAATCACACACAGAAGCATACACATACACACTCACAAGAAGTGAAAAACGGAAAAAAAATATATTGTTTCTCCCAATGTCCACCTCCTCAATTTGTTGTGATTCATTGTCTATTCAGGTATTCCACAGATGCAGGGTACATCAAGTTGATTGTGGAGTTTTAATCCGCTGCTCCTGAGGCTGCTGGGAGAGATTTCCCTTTCTCTTCTTTATTCGCACAGCTTCTGGTGTTCAGCTTTGGATTTGGCCCCGCTTCTGAGTGTAGGTCACCTGAGGGCATCTATTCTTCGCTCAGACAGGATGGGGTTAAAGGAGCCGCTGATTCGGGGGCTCTGGCTCACTCATGCTGAGGGAGGGAGGGAGGGGTACAGAATGCGGGGTGAGCCTGTGGCGGCAGAGGCCGGCATGACGTTGCAATAGCCTGAGGCATGCCGTGTGTTCTCTGAGGGAAGTTGTCCCTGAATCACAGGACCCTGGCAGTGGCGGGCTGCGCAGGCTCATGGAAGGGGAGGTGTGGAGAGTGACCTGTGCTCGCACACAGGCTTCTTGGTGGCAGCAGCAGCAGCAGCCTTAGCATCTCATGCCCGTCTCTGGGGTCTGTGCTGATAGCCGCGGCTCGTGCCCATCTCTGGAGCTCCTTTAAGCATTGCTCTTAATCCCCTCTCCTCACGCACCACAAAACAAAAGGGCAGGAAAAAGTCTCTTGCTTCTTTGGTAGCTCCAGACCTTTTCCCAGAATCCCTCCTGGCTAGCTGTGGCGCACTAGCCCCCTTCAGGCTGTGTTTTACGCAGCCAACCCCTGTCATCTCCCTGGGATCCGACCAAAGCTGGAGCCTCAGCTCCCAGCCCCCACCTGCCCTGCCGGGTGAGCAGACAAGCGTCTCAGGCTGGTGAGTGCTGGTCGGCACTGGTCTTCTGTGTGGGAATCTCTCCGCTTTGCCCTCTACACCCCTGTTGCTGTGCTCTCCTCCGTGGTTCTGAAGCTTCCCCCCTCCACCACCCGCAGTCTCCGCCCCCGAAGAGTCTTCCTAGTGTGTAGAAACCTTTCCTCCTTCACAGCTCCCTCCCACTGGTGCAGGTCCTGTCCCTGTTCTTTTGTCTCTGCTTTTTCTTTTTTCTTTTGCCCTACCCAGGTACGTGGGGAGTTTCTTGCGTTTTCGGAGGTCTGAGGTCTTCTGCCAGCATTCAGTAGGTGTTCTGTAGGGGTTGTTCCACATGTAGATGTATTTCTGATGTATTTGTGGGGAGGAAGGTGATCTCTATATCTTACTCTTCCGCCATCTTGAATCCCCTCTGGTTACAGTTATTTGTAAACTAATGTTCTTGAATAAGCAATGGAAGTTTTCTTGATGTTACATAACTACTTAATAGATTGTAATAAATCAGTGACTCATATTTTATTAAAAATAACCAACTAGTTTATCTTTGACATATTTCATCTTAAGTTGGAAGTGTTTTAGTAATCATTGTATACTTTAAATTGTGTTATTACACTAGTCTTTGCTGAGTATAAGCTATGCAATAAATTCTGTAGTCATGTGCCTCTGCCAAATGGTGTATGGAAGTGCACAGATAGAAGTATATCAAAACCTTAACTGTGTTTTGTTTCTGTGTTTTCTGTCTTTTTGACCATTATGTGAATCATTTGCAACCCCATCTGATGGTAACCTGGGAAATGGAAAGGAAAGGAGCCTACCATTGTCCTTTCTGTCCAACTCCAATTAAACAGACATTAAGGAGTACCAGCCTACCCAGAGAAATTTGGTTGTGACTCAGCACTTTGGTACCTTCATGGCACACATATATCTGTTAATGTACAATTTTTTAACTTACTTAGTCTTTTACTCAAGTTGTCTTCCTAGATAGGGTAAGATAAGGTAAGGAATGATAAGATTTGAATTTATAAAAACTTGGAAGCAGTAGTTAAATGGTTCCCAAGGTGATTTGATTAGGTCCAATTCCAACTAATTTTTTTGCTTTTGAAATATTGACTATTGCTGTTTTCTGTGATTTTGGCTCTAAAGGCTGACATTTAATTCACTTAATTTATAAAACAAGTATAACCTATTTTCAATGCTATATTCCACGTTTTTGGCCCCATAGTGTAGGTTTCGCTCTCAGTCCATTTGTGGGATAATGAAGTTGTTTCCTCTCTGTTTCCACAGTAGACGCATAATTAACCTTGGCCCAGTAATGCTTATTTCTGAAGAACAGCCAGCTCAACCTGCATTGCCAGTCCAACCAGAAGGTACAAGAGTTGTGTGTGGGCACTGTGGAAATACGTTCTTGGTACGTAACAAGACATTTGTGACAGGGACATCAATCTGTAAATGTAAGTCTTGATCACACAGATTTGACCACTGCTCATAGTCTTATAATTTGTCCAAGTGCAAATTGATCAAAAGATTAAAATAGAGCCTTTGTTAGAAAGACAGTTAATCAGAGCCACGACTAGGATGTACTGCGTTTGTGAATTACATATAAGGTGCATCCCCTGACTGATTCATTTGCAAAAAGGGCCTCTCTGGGTAGGCTAATAACAAACAAGAACCCTGTGCTCCAGGCAGAGCAACTTGGGTATCCTGGCTTAGTGAGTAACTGAACCTACCTCCTACCCTTATCTCCTCAGCAGAGCGCAAAATGCACACTCTCATGCAGTGGCCTTGTTTAATGGTTCTGGATTCAAGAAATATTCTCATTATAATTTATCAAAATTTTTCTGATTTTTGTGTATGAAACTTGGAGTAACGGGAATTACTGTGGTATCTGTAATTAGATAAGTTATTGGATAAAAAATAAAGTATAAGTAGTTTGACATGAACAAAAGTTATAGGAGTTCTTGTTTTACTACTTTTAACTTTAACCCTAAGCTTGATTTTTAAATGTTAATTTCATAATGACTTACCCCATCAGGAAGAATAAGAACAGGTTTTCTTTTGTTATTTAGCCTCCAAAGGAGACAAAAGGTTTTCCTTAGAACCTAAGTACTAAAGGAACCTTCCAGAGTGTAGGCATGGGGAGAGCTGAGGTTGCAGTGGTTTATAAACAAGACCTGCTGTCACTAAGGGATGAATGAGCTTAAGAAAGTGTAGACTGTTTGCTCTTTTCCCTTCTAATTTTTATTTTTGATAAAGTAATTCATGTATAATAACTTCACATGTCAAATAGGACTGTAAAGCTTAAAGGGAAAATGGTGGTCATCTCTTTACCTAACACAACCCCAATTTTCATCCCCCAAATACTTTTGACTCTTTCAGCTGCTATTCTGGTATGTACTTCCATGTGTTTAAATTGTTTGCTTATTTTTTTCTTTTTGATTAAGCAGTTTTAGATATTACCTATTACTTTGTAAAACGCAGGTTGAAGATTTAGCACTCTTACCACCCTGCCTCCTCTCATAGTCCTTTCTCCACTTTCATACTCCCAGTAGAGTTATAATATTTTATTTGATTAATACTTAGTCTTTACATTTTTTATGGTTAGGTAAATTGTGTTCACAGCTGAGCCAAGTAATATATTACATTTCTCTCCTGTATGGCTCTTAAATATTTCTTGGATTTGTTAATAATTGTCCCTCCCTCTTTTAGATTTGTTTTAATTTTTTATGTACAAATCACTAGTTCTTCTCATATTCTTTCATAGAACTACAAAATTCCTGTCAATATAGTCAAATGGGTCAGGGAATCTATTATTTAGACTTCCTCCTACACAGCTGTCATCCTGTGACTTCCCTTCATCTTATCTTAGGAATTCCTATTACCTCTTTCCTGTGTTGGATCCTCTGCCATCCTTACAGTTCTTGGTTTATTGCTTTATTTTGTTGGAGCACATCCTCACTTAACTTTCTGAGAAAAGATGCAGAGAAATAAATTTGAACCTTTTACTTCTTAAACAGTTTTTAATCTAACCCTATTTTCACGTTATAATTTGTCCAGATGTAGAATTATAGGTTGCCAATTCTTTCCTCAGAAATTTGAGGGCTTTGCTCCACTGTTGATGGGAAGATCAACTGCTGTTGTGGCTCCTGACCCTTACCATGTGACCTATTTTTCTCTCTTTATTTTCTCTTATTTTCCTCTTTCATTTCTCCAATGTTCTGAAATAGTATTAGAATGTGCCTTAGGGAGAATCTTTTTGACCTCATTGTCTGGCTACTCAGTGAATCCTTTTATAGTCCACTCCATTTTCTTTCTTCCATCTTTCTACAACCCCTGAGATTAGATCACCTGAATTGACATACACACTCTCTTTCTCTCTCATTTTTTTTTAACATACTTTTCAGTTTTGGCTTTTTCTTTTACTTACAGGGAAATTTCCTCAACCATATCTTCTAAACTTAATTAAAATTTTAATTTCAGATGATCTAAATTAATTTTTAATTTCTAAGAGTTCTGTGTTCTCTGATTAATTTTTCTTTTTTCTAAATCACATTCTCTTCTTTATGGCATCTTTCTGAAGCTATTAGTTATGTTTTCTGAGGTATTATTCTTCTTTATGCCTTGTCTCTATTTTCTCTCCATTGTTTCTATTTGTTTTTATTTTCTGATAGAGGTTTTAATGAGGAGCTCATTTATATATGAGAGCAAGTTACTGATTGGAATCTCTAAGTATGCAGCAGGGGCTAAACTTTTTCTCCTTCCTTCCTTCCTTTCTTCCCTCCCTCCCTCCCTTTTTCCTTTCTTCTTCTCTCTCCTCCTCCTCCTCATCTTTCTTCTTCCTCTTCTCCTTTTTCTCTTTTCTTGAAGAACTGCCAACTATTAGTATCAATGTCTTTTTTTTCTTTTAGGGCAAGTTTCTCTGGGGAATAATCCTCTGACTTCTTGTAAGAGGTATATCTGGGAGACAGCATTCTAGGAGCTAAGAAAAGATAATAGGGATGAAGTTCTCATCTACTGTTCAGACTGTAGACTTATTTAACTCCTTTGTTTTTAGAATGGTGTCTTATTCTTGCCTTCTACTGTGCCTGGTGTTCCTAAGTTCACAGTCCTTCTAGTTCAGTTTCTTTGAGAGAATAAATCACTCTTCTCTTGCATGTGTTGGGGAGGGAGGGATTTTTGGTTTTGTGATATGGAGGAAAGAGGCTAGAACTGATACTCCTGTTTTTATCACTACCCCTAACTCCTATCTTTGAAAGCACCTTGGAGTCCCAAGGTCTGAACTATTTTGTAGTTCTTCAGTTGAATCAGCCTGTTTTTCATTGGATATCTCTCTTTAGGCAATCAGGTTTCAGCATCCCTTTCAGTTTGTTACCAAGTCTCCATCAGCTTTCCTCTGTCTGAAAATTCAAGGTCATTTCTCTTCAGATTCTATTTGTCCTTATGGTATTATACATTTGTAAATACAATTTACTGTCATTTTAGTCAGGTTTGGGAAAGGAAATAGAAATGCATGCATTTGTCCAACTTATTACATTTAACCAGAATTTCTATGATTTTTCTGATCTACTAGGATAAGATAAATCTTCTTCCTTGCATTTATATTTTATTGATTAAGTCAGTGACCAAGTACATCAATTAGGGGATATATTTGGTGGGGATAGTGAAAAGATTTCTTTTTTAAAAATTTCTTTTTAAAAAATCACTATTGAGAATTAGGTTTGGATTTGGGTCCTGGCCATACTAAAGCCTGACTATGTGATGCTGGGCAAGTTATGTAACTTTGCTAAATTCTGATTACCTCATCTGAAAATGGGGAGAATAATAGCATATTCACAAGATTGCTGAGAGCAGTAGTAAAGGCATTTGTCCAAAGTTTGTGACAGTGGAAGCTTAGCCTTGTGGCTGACAGGGTCTTGGTGCACCGGCTGGGTGTCAGGCTTGTGTCTCTGAGGTGGGAGAGCCAAGTTCAGGATATTGGTCCAACAGAGACCTTCCAGTTCCATGTAATATCAAACGGCGAGAGCTCTCCCAGAGATCTCCATCTCAATGCTAAGACCCAGCTGCACTCAACAACCAGCAAGCTACAGTGCTGGACATCCTATGCCAAACAACTAGCAAGACAGGAACACAACCCCACCCATTAGCAGAGAGGCTGCCTAAAATCATAATAAGGTCACAGACACCCCAAAACACACCACTGGATGCGGTCCTGCCACCAGAAAGACAAGATGCAGCCTCATCCACCAGAACACAGGCACCAGTCCCCTCCACCAGGAAGCCTACACAACCCACTGAACCAACCTTAGCCACTGGAGGCCGACACCAAAAGCAACGGGAACTACGAACCTGCAGCCTGCAAAAAGGAGACCCCAAACACAGTAAGTTAAGCAAAATGAGAAGTCAGAGAAGCATACAGCAGATGAAGGAGCAAGGTAAAAACCCACCAGACCAAACAAATGAAGAGGAAATAGATAGTCTACCTGAAAAAGAATTAAGAGTAAGGATAGGAAAGATGATCAAAAATGTTCGAAATAGAATGGAGAAACTACAAGAAACTGAGGCAGAAGAATGGATAAGTGACCTGGAAGATAAAATAGTGGAAATAACTACTGCAGAGCAGAATAAAGAAAAAAAGAATTGAGGACAGTCTCAGAGACCTCTGGGACAACATTAAATGCACTAACATTCGAATTATAGGGGTCCCAGAAGAAAAAGAGAAAAAGAAAGGGACTGAGAAAATTTTTGAAGAGACTATAGTTGAAAACTTCCAAGTATGGGAAATGAAATAGTCAATCAAGTCCAGGGAGTGCAGAGAGTGCCATACAGGATAAATCCAAGGAGAAACACGCCAAGACAAATATTAATCAAGCTATCAAAAATTAAATACAAAGAAAAAATTATTAAAAGCAGCAAGAGAAAAACAACAAATGACATGCAAGGGAATCCCATAAGGTTAACAGCTGATCTTTCAGCAGAAACTCTGCAAGCCACAAGGTTCTGGCAGGACATATTTAAAGTGATGAAAGGAGAATAAAATACCTAGGAATAAACCTACCTAAGGAGACAAAAGACCTGTATGCAGAAAACTATAATACACTGATGAAAGAAATTGAAGATGATACAAACAGATGGAGAGATATACCATATTCTTGGATTGGAAGAATCAACATTGTGAAAATGACTCTACCACCCAAAGCAATATACAGATTCAATGCAATCCCTATCAAACTACCACTGGCATTTTTCACAGAACTAGAACAAAAAATTTCACAATTTGTATGGAAACACAAAAGACCCCAAACAGCCAAAGCAAACTTGAGAAAAAAATGGAACTGGAGGAATCAGGGTCCTGGACTTCAGACTATACTGAAGCTACAGTAATCAAGACAGTATGGTACTGGCACAAAAACA